CTATGAGTCCATGATATCTGTTCCACTCTGTTCCTCTGCAGACCATACCAGGGGGCTGCTCTTTGCAAAGCCTTTCAGGGATGTTGATGGCATTTCCAAGGCAAAGATGATAGAGCATGGGTAGCACTTGGTACGGTCTGGATAGCTTTGCTGTCTTTCTTAGTTTCTTGTTCTAAGGTCTGTGGAGACAACAGTAAAGGCAGACACCCATGAGAGATATTCACCCCATCTACCTAAGGAAACACTACGTGGAACATCTTTCAGAGCATGACAGATCATCAGAGTAAGCTTCAGTGCAGAAAGACACTCAGGGAAGTCTCTGAAGGAAGCACTGAAATCACATCTGTTCATAAAATTGTAAGAAATCCTCTGCTTTCAGCATGAAAATATTTTTATCTATTTACATGATTCGTAATTTTTCTGTGGACATGGACCACAACACAAAAAAATAACAATTACTTGGACTGTGTTGTTGGAGTCCTTGATCAATCAAAAGGTAAAGCATTGACTCTATGAAAAATCCGAGCTGACTAGCCGCAGCTCCTTGCTAGAGTGTGTGTGTTTTGGAGATTCATAATTTCAGTTTAAAAGCTTAAGGGAGAGAAAAAAAACACTGGGGTCAATTGGAAAAATAAATGTTACTAAAATGCCCAGGTTATGACTTTTCTTACACCTAGGTCCTAGTGCTGCCTCTGGTGGAACCGTCATCTGACAGCTCTGGACAAGAAGACCTTGAAGGCTGCTCTCTGCTGGCACCAGAAGAGGTAAGGGAGGAATAATACCATTTTCCTTGGTAATTAAATGGCATTTATGGCTGACTGTTGCACTGTCAGACTGTCTGACTGGTGATAGTCAGTTAATACACCTACATAGCTCTGGCATAGCCCTCCAGAGATCCCAATGCATACTACAGAGGTCAACTGACCAACCTATCCTACAGCATGCTGCAGACCCAAAGGGTTGTGGAGCTCAGGCTGGGTAGATACTGGGCTGTCCTTATGGCCCCACTGTGCTTTCTTTATGGCCTCTGAATAACAAACGCTGGATGTTGATTGTCAATAGTGTGGCCCCAGGTCTGCGGTCTGACCCCCAGCACTGCACATTTTCCACAGGGACAATGTGTCCACACAGAGTTCAGATGCAAAAGCAACGTCATAAAGGAGCCCAGGATAAGATAATGAAATAATATGAATGAGACGAGCATAATTTTTACAAATATCTTATTAAAAATTTTACAATAATTTCCATATCTAATAATTGCTTTCATTCCTTGATAGATTTCAAAAGGTGTTTTGCCCTCCAGAATGGAACTTTTCTGTTCTTTAATCTTGAAATGAAACATTGAAAATTGAGAAACACCTTGAAGTTTTTCCAGAGGTACTCCCTCACCCCAGCCCTTCCTCAAACATTCTTTGTTTTTTAAACTCCACATTTTCTGATTAGTTCATCAGAAAATCCCCAGCCCTTTCTAACTGCAGACGAAGGGAGGGGGCTGGAATGATTTATTGGTGGCCATTTCTTCTTTCTTTTTTTTTCTGCTTCTTCTAGTATATGTGTGTTCTGTCTAGTAACAAGGCTGTCTATTGCATTGTATAAAATCTATATGAACAAAATGCACAAAAGAAAACAAAAAAACCTAATTTAAACTTCAAAACCACATGGGTCTGAACCTTATGATTAATCAAGATGTTTTTTCTGAAGGGTAAAGGAGCTATATTTTCTGTTAGTCTTATGAAAAAAAACAAAAAAATAATCCTAAACATTCCTATTATTATAAGAACATTATCTACTTTTGTTCCCCAAGCACTAGGGAAATAGAGAATCAATGCTGATACCTGGGTTAGGTGCTGGGTGCTGGAACCTGGGTGCTCCCACCATGTGCTGCTGGAGCCTCTGCCTTGTCCCTGTGGCTGCCAGAGTCCCAGGCACAATCTCATTGTCCCTTGTGCCCAGGAATTTTTCAGATCCTAATGGTAGTGGGCATGTGCAGGGGGATGTGCCAAGGAGAAGAGGAAAGTTCATTGCATGGGGCGACGTTTTGACCTTGCAAACTCAATTCCTATTCCACAGCCTAAGAATTTGGAAGATTTTTGGCTGGGCATGTAACAGCCCATGAGGAGCCAAGGCTGGGCACCAGCAGTGCTCTGCCTCAGCCACACAGGGGGTTTTCTGCCAATGGGACAGAGAATTGCTGGGGACACCTTCCAAATGGCAAACAGTGCTAACTTGCGAGTACACATTAGCATAAATACAGCAATGCCAAATGCGGATGACTGAAAAACACACACAGAAATGGGGAAGTGTGCATTAATCCCTTTGTAAAAAACACACAAGTGCCCACTTTGCATTTTAATTTTACACAATTACAATGCAATCTGCAAAAAAAGCCTTCACTCGTGGTGTACAAACCCTTGCCTTCACTGAGCTCCTTCGAGCATTGCCAAAGATCCCTTGCTGGTTGCATTCAGTTTTGAGATGCAGATCACAAGAATAGATGACAACTGATTTTCCTTGTCACTTCAGACAGGTTTAACCAGTATTACATGTTAGTTAAATGGCAACTGATTGAAATTACACTTATTGAAGATTATTTAGGTGATAGATATATTGCACTTTGAATTTAATTAACCATTTTATGTTCAATACAGGAAGATGCCTTCTCATTGCAGTAATCATTGCCTGCAAAGCAACCAGATGACTGCAAGATGAGTACATTGTTGAAGTTCAAAACTATGGAAAAACAGTGGTTATCCTGGGCTGCCCAGGGATGTGTGGGAGAGGACTAACACATGTTGGGATGGGAGGAGTGAAGGTTTAGGGAGGTTTGGTTGTGAGCACCTGTGTGCAAGCCCATCACAATAGCAGGGATTGCTTCCAGTGGAGATGGCATCTAAAAGCAGGAGGGGAGGGTAAGTGGCCAAGAGAGACAGTGAGTGTTTATTCATGCAGAATTAGAAGGCTGAGGAGAGCTCATTTCCCAGATGGCAGTGCAAGGAGAGCAAGGAGGAGCAGTGCTGCTTACTGTTCCCCTACAGACACACAAAGGGTTTTTGGTGGGAGGCTGTATTATGTCAGAATGATTTCTCCTCTCCCTTAGCTAACTGAATAGTTTGCTTGGAAGAAAAGGGATGGTTAAGCAAGGTGAAGACATGATATATATTTTCACTTCTCTGAAAATGTCCTTTGTCCTATGGCTATCCCATAAGATGCATATCTGCTTCTCCCTTTTTGAAGGCCTCACAGTGATGTCTCTACCTGGTGAGAGCCGCGTTCAGCCCTGCTGTGGCTTGTTCTACTAACATCAGAAGGCCTGATTCCATTTTAACAACTGGCAAAGATGTAAGCCTATCCTTTGCCACAACATTCTGTCCCTGACCTGCAGCTGCCTGTTGCCTTGCTCACCCACCGTCCATCCTACCATGGCAGATTCTGCCCTCCAAGCACTCTTGCCTCTTGCAGTCCTGCTCTAGCCCAAACTTGCTGTGTGCTAGGGTTGTGTGGACTGCAGCTGAGTTTTGGCCTACATGACAGTAAGTCTGCAGCCTGTCCACCTTTCCTTCCTCCACCTATCAGTGTGGGAACTCCTCTAGGCAGAGACCTCTATCCTGGATCCCATGGGATCCCTCATGTGCTTGCGGTCAGGTTAAACAAAGAGCAGCTCTGCTATTGCGACAGTGAGGCAGAGAGGTTTAATGTATTATTTGAAGGCTATACCTGCAATATTTAAGAAAGAACAATGCAAAGGATAGAAGAAATTATTGTAACTTAAGGTCTAGTGTGCTTACAGAAGAAGAGCGAGCACATTCATCAGTCCATATGCCTCAACAGTTGGCTAGAAGTGTAGTCAAAATTTTACCCAACCCTCTCCAGTTTCCCTAACCAGTGTGCAGTTTCTCCAAGATACCCATATGTTCACAGTTATCTTGAACTATTAAATTGATTCGTAAATTTATTTGGCAACACAAAATCCCATAGGAAGTCAGCATCATCATCTATCCTGCTTTTTAGAGCAGGTCATGACTTAGGCTAAGGTTAGAAAATTGGAACTTGGATTTTCACTGTAATTTCAACTTCCTCCCCCAGCTTCCTGGCATGTTACAGGAATATATTTATTGTCCTACAGAAATTATAATTTTCCTAGTCTGGCATCCGATTCCTGGCAGTGATCTACAGCAGATGCTCCAGCAGAAGTCAAAAAATGTTAAGAATCAAATGGCAATGAAATTCCTGCTGGAATGTCCTCATCTCCATGAGACACTTCTTCCACACCAGGCTCGGGTGGTGGGAGGCGAATGGATGCTATATATTCTGCAGGAGAGTGAACAGCTTTCTACAGCTGCATAGCGAGATGCTTTAGGTATGTTGGTATCTACACCTGATTTTAAAGTTCCTTGTCTAGCTAGCTGTGGACCTGTTGATTAAAACATGTTTACATGGGTTGATTGCATCAACTCTGAGATCACCAAGATATTTAAGGTCTCACCAATGTTTTAATGCTGTTGCTTGGCTCTCTAGGGATGCTTCGTGTGAAAGCTGTGTTAGCGCTTTGCTCCGAGGAAGCACGGAGATGGAAGGAGATGGATATTCCAAACTTCTGTAGTGTGCTTGCAAGGACACAGCTAAAGGTACCTCACAGCACAGGCTGCAGAAAGTGTGGTCTTCATGACATGGTAAAGATCTTCAAGTTCAGATCTGCCCAAGCCACGCACAGCCTTTCTGCTAATCTTGTGCACAGAGTCCTGGGCAGCTCTGTATCCTAACCACTCGTGACCTACAGACACTGCCTGCCCGGCCAAGGCTGAGGTCTCTCTGCACAGCTCCTCTGAAACGAACAGCCATGTGTTTATTTGGAAGTCTTCCTGCTCTGTCTCAATAGCTATTTGTCATGTTCCTTAATGCCACAGCTGTTTGGTTACGCCAGGTCATCTGCTTTTATTAGTCCTGTTCCCACCACCCACTGAAACTCACACCAGCCAGGAGAAGATTATTATCTGTGCCTAAAAATAGCCTTTCTCTCGTCCCTCTCTTCCAGCAACCGTGGAAACTTCAGCATTTTTCTTCTTTTCTGGTTTCCAGATCTGCTGCCTACCCCATGAAGGTTGGAGTAGCCGCCCTCGCAGCCGGGATCCTCGGCAGCACCGGCATCTTGCTCTTTCTCATCGCTTTTGGGACGGATTACTGGCTTCTGGCTACGGAGACCTGTGGTGTCTTTGAGCATGGGAATAGCACTCTGCAGGGCGGGGAGGTAAACTCTGCAATCTTGTCTTACTTCAGGAGAATTGACCTATGTAAATAATTTAAAATGGTAGATTTTGGAAGTTTTACATCTGCGGTAATATTTATGCTCATTTAAAATGACCTCTTAATGTAAAATGTCAGCTTGAGCTAACTTTAAAATCCAAACCAGCTTTTCCATAGTATCTGCCGTTCTAACTGAAGTACAGTATTGTCTAGGAAACACTGAAGACAGCACCTCTGTAATCTTGCAGATACGAACATTAGGGAATGAAAGGAAAAATATAAGAGCTTTACTTGTTGACAGTACTTGCCTCTAAAGACAAAAGATATTTCCTAACATTTGCCATTAAAAGATTTCTTTCTCTGTAGTTTCTTCATTTAAAAGTAGTTCATGTTTTAAAGTGTAGAGCTTGGCAATCATTTACATCTGAAGTGATGTGACTACAGCACAGACAGAAAACAAAAGCAAACATCGGATGCAGAAAACAGCAGATGAGTTCCTGCCCATCTGACTAGAAAAGGCCTATATATTTCAAAATTAAGATTTATATAGGATTTCAGCTTGCAGGAATTCTATTTTTCTAAGGGCAATATGGTGTTTTCGTGCTAACGGCTGGTATCGCTGGTTTACAGATCCTTTCAAAAGTGTGATTTTAGCTGCACTTGCTATTGTCTAACTCCTCAATAAAATAACCACCAGATCAGTTCCTTAAGCCACCCACTCTTCAAAACTGTTTTTGCGCTGATCAATGTGTGGTTTCAATTGCAGAATGACAGGATGATCCTTGTCGTGTGCAGACTTTTTGTTACTTCAAAGTTCAATCCAATTAGCTTTGATTTTCTTCTGGTGTGGTGAGTCACACCAGGTAAGCATCATGATGCCAGCAAGGAATATTTTCTTTCGTTTCAAAATCCAATAACCAAATGTAGGACATGCTTGAGTCATGCTTCCAAATGACTTTCTCTATAGAAAAAAGAAACAACCCACAAACTTACAATAGAAAAACTGCCTGTCTTTACAGTTTAAAGCAGTGCAGTAAAGCCCCAGAGGTGATGGGGCGTCACGGACAGAGGAGTGCAGCTCAGTTTTTGTGCACTTGGGAAATGACACTGTTAATTGTTTCAGACTTCCATTCGTGCTGTTGACTTCTAAAGTGGATTGACTAGCAACACTGCACTGCACGACATGAAAAAGCATCTCAGACATTTAAGATACGCTCTTGGCCAAGTGTTAGTGTGCCTGTCACTAAGGCAGAGAGACTTCAAAAGCACCAAGCAGAAATAGGAACTGTTCTTACTCTTTCCTTTGAGCTGTTTTATTTCCATTTCAGACACTGTTTCTATTATTTCTATTCCAGTTACTGATTGTGTATACTGGGCTGTGTTTTTACCTTCTCTGCCCTTTCTTAAACTGGCAAATCCTGTCCCTTTCAGATAAGGATGGTCTTGAGTATCTGCCAAAGAGTGATTAAATGTGCTGCAGTCAGCAGCAACTGCCTGATGAAGTTTGAGGGCTGCATGGTACCATTGTCTTAATTAGTATTTTACCCTGAAAGTCAAAGGAGAACCAGTTCAGAGCTCTGGAAGTGGTCATAAGTCGATGCATAAAAGCCTTGAGGTGAGGGAAGTATCTTCTAGCACCTTGCCTTTGAGCTCTGTCTCCTTTCTCTAATTCACAGAGTCCAATTCTGTATGGAGCTTCTCCATCCTCCACAAACGTAATTTTGTAATGGTCATGTCTCCTCTAACAAGCTGCATGGGATAAAACTGATTTTGGCTACAGGTTTAATAAGTTTTTTTGGTAAAATAGTCCAACTCTGCACTAACCATCCTTTTAGAAAGACCTAAACCTTTTGCTCGCAGGTCTCATCTGAGGCTCCAAGTAGACTCAAAAAAAAAAAAGGAGAAATTGTCAACATCCCTGTCATAGTTTATGAGAAAACTAGTCTGGGCAGAGTGATTTGTGTCTCATGTAAGCTTAGCATAACTTCTACTGGGCTCAGCAGAGGGAGACAAATAAGGAAACCTTTGGGCTGGTGATTGGAAGAGGCTCTCTGGAAGTTTTAGAGATGGGCTGTCTTCTGGGATTAAGCCAGACCCGACGTGAATCCTGCGGAGCAGCAAGGGCATCAGAACTGTTGCGCTGGGTCACACCTAAAATTGTTTACCTGGCAATCAACCTGCTTCCTGCTGGTTACAACAGCAATAACATTACGTAAGGAAAGTGTTTAAGTAGAATATACCCAGAATGCTCAACTCCCTGACAAATCCACCCAGCTCTGTCAATCAGTGTTTTAAAGATATTAGAGAAAGAAGAAACAGGTTTGGGTCTGGAAGATGATTTGCTATCAGAACATTTTGTCACTATGAGATGGCAGAAAGTCAAGGACAGCAGCTGCCTCTGTGTTCCCCAATCCATCCAAAACCAGCTCAAGAAACAAATGAAAGCCTCAACAGAAATGAAAGCAGCAACTGTCTAAGCAAAACCCACACGCTTTCCACCTTTCCATCAAGATCATCCCTGTATCAGCTTGGGCTTTCATTCCTTCACAGGCTGAAACGCTGATGGAGGTCAGGAAGGAGATGCTCACTTTCCATCATGAGGGCTTCTTCTGGCGGTGCTGGTTCTTTGGCGAGGGTCACTCAGAAACCATCTGGACCTTCTGGTACAGTAAGTACGATGCCACTACACCATACCCACAGCATTCACTCACAGTTTGAATTGCAAACAAGTACAAGAAGGGCTCCCAGGGATGAGGACACGATTGTCTTTATTTAATTTTATTTTCATTCTCATCATCTCTCTAACAAAAGCAAACTTGGCTCACCCTTTTTGTGCTCTTTTTTTTTTGACTTGCATTTTGCTCTCAGAATTCACAGAAATGTAGAAACCTCTTGATGACATTTAACCTATCACTACAAAGTTTTAGGGAGTGGTGGCTTCCAACAGCAAAGACAACTCTTCCCCCTCGCCCCTACTTCTTCATGTTTGTGTTCAGCCAAGGTCTGATAAGTTTGAGCCCATGCTTTCCCTGGCCACAGGGTGGCTGTGTTTTCAGCCATCGGGGTGCTAAGTGTTCACACCTACTGCTGTTTTCAGCATGGGGAAGGCTGGATGCACATGCCTGTGGTCCCCCTGGGTGCTCAGGACCTCTAGAAGTGGGCAGTGGTGGACCATGGATATGTGTAACCACCTGTGTTTGTGCTCTTAAGCACACAAGATCTTTATTGTAAGATCTTGCCCGTTTTGCTTTTGAAGGTCATTGAAATGACACGTGTGAATAAACAGAAATGGATGCAAAACAGGTTGGTTTTGTTGTTGTTTTTTTTCCTGAAAGCACATTCACTCTTCAAACAAAATTGAAGGAGAAGGTGAAACCTGTTCTGAGACACCAGTTGGCGCTGACTGGTGGCTCACGTGCACTGAAGTGTGGGGTCTTGGCCCAGTGAACCAGGTGCTCCCACCAGAACAAGCAAAGGAGTGAGACCAACCCACAGCATGCCTGGCACCAGCCTTGCTGGTGGCTGAGCCAGCAACTGACTCACAGTGGGTAATTAGAGGACAGCCTTTCCCTGGGATGCCACAACCTTAGAGCAATATTTGGCATTGCAAAAAGAGATGTTAAATAAGTTCTGCAAAGGTTTACACTGCAAAACCCTTGACCATGTGCTCGCTGGTGCTTTGGTTTGGTCAAAGATGTTTATGTGCGTGTGAAGCAGCGTGACCTCCTTGTAGGGCATTTGGCTGCAAATAATGCAGATTCAATGCAGTATACAATAAATGTACTCTTCAGTGACTGAAATTCCAGATGACTTTGCTGTCCCCCAGTCCCTGACCTGTGTTTCCTGTAAAATCATGCAGGACCAGTTACTGCCACTGTTCAACTGAATAATGTGAGGATTTTCACACAGAAATCTTTCTATAAGAAAGCAAAAGCCTGAGAGAGGGAGTTTGTGATCTAATTATGTTAGATGGAAACACACAATATAATATAATGTTACCTGAAAGTAAAATGGCTCTTTCTGATAACTGGGGAATTTGTAGTACTTCTTTAGGTATTTATGATAATAGGATTGATCATGACAAATTAATTTGCTGCTCTCACAGATATAATAATTAATTCAATAGGTATTCCATAGTCAATTTAGCATGAACTAATGTCCACCTATTATAAAGTGTTCCTTTGAGCTGGGGAACATATTTAAATAAGTGGCCAACCATTAATTAATTCATTTAACATTCATTCTATTACCCTTAATCATGATAAACCTCAGTGGTATTAATATTGATGGGGCACTTCCATTCTAATTGTGCTTTCTCTTCTCACAAACTGGATGTCTTGTAAGGCATCTTGTTCTGGTACCCAAATACCTTTGCCCTTTCCAGACGGTCTGACGCATTTGCTGAAGGAAAACAGCAGTGGGAATATTTACACTGATTTCAGTTGCTCCATCTTTCATGATTTACGTCCACCTCAGGTTATGAAGATGGCAAGATGTACGGGTAGCAGCCCCAGATCCTGTTATATCTCTCCTCTCTCATAATTCTTATTTTTCTTTTTTCTTTCTAACCAGGATTTACTACCCTTTACTCCCCAGCCTTCCGATTTCAGTGAGGGTTTTGTAGGTGTTTACAGCACAGTGCATTGCCATCTGAATACTGTAACTGTGATTTTGCAGAAAAATAAAAGCAAACAGGGATTTCTTATTTATTTATTTTTGTTGTTAATGTTCATTTTCAGCCAGCCAAGCACACCCCAAGTTCTGTACCCATGGCTACCTCTTCCCCATGCCCATTGCTCTCGGACCTTTCCCTCATCCTTCCTATGACACAACTGCAGGTAAGTTTCTTTCCCCCTCCCCAGCAGCTCCCTGCCCAAGAGATCGGGTAGAGATTCATGGTGTGTTTCAGCACTATAATTCTCCCATTGTAAACGCATGTGGCCAAGCATGACCAACAGTTTTGTAAAGCTCCTTTACAACATGGCCTTGCAGTTGAGTGACCCAAGCTGTGAGCTCATTGAGATGTTCTCCAATGTCTTCTCTCCTCCAAAGCCAGCCATAAGCAGTACACCCTCCCGCTGTGTGCTCAGCACCTCCTATGAGCAGCTGAGGATGCTAAATCCTCTCTCCCACCTTCTCACTTCCTGGGAAGAGCTGGAGGCAAAGGGCTTCAGCCCCTGAGGCCAAATCCAGACCCTGTGGGCAAGCAAGAGAATTTCTCATGGGCTGCAGGCTTGTGGCAGCTCAATGCTGACTCGTTTCCAGCGTCTGGCTTCCTGGGAGAGCTCCGATGTTGATTTACTGCATGACAAAATAAACAAACACTGGAAAATCAGTTAAAGACCAAATGGTTAGAAGATCCACGTAAAGTGACTGGCTTATTTTTAATACACCGAATACGACACAGTTGGAGAGCTCTCCTTTCAACTGGTTCCCTTTTTATTTATGTTTCTCTGTATTTTCAGAGTTCTTTAATGAATCAGCTGCTGTTAGGAATTTTAATTTGCTAAATTGGTGGCAGCAGCTCGAATTAATTCAATGATCTTTTTTGAAATGAATTGATTTCTTTAAATAGTGTGCATCACTCTGCCTTGCCTCCGGGGATCCAGGGCAGGCATACTGCACAAACAAACATCTTGACCTTTTCCTTAGCCTTTAGCAGTACCCTTTTTATTTTTATGTTGTTTTTTTTTTTTCATGAGAATTTAATTTTTTTTTTTAAAAAACCCATTTGTCAGGAGGAGGATGTGAGGGAGAGCAGCTAGTTTATTTTGCTGTGCTGTGCAGCGTTCCTGCCTCGGGGAACATGCCGTAGTGTAAAATGGATACGAGGGACCTGTCGACAGTTGGAAGGAGGAGCCCATTGCAGGCTGTGTGCAGCAAATATGCGGGTTAAGCAGTGGGATTTTTTCTGCTTGGGAGAGACAGGCATGATGTCTGGTTTCTGAATGATCTTGCTGATAAACACACTATTTTTTCCATACTAAATAAAGGGCCCTGGAGGCATCTGTCCCTGCCTGTCAGCCCTTGCTGTGAAACCCTCTTCAGCTGCCTCTCAGAAATGCCAGTTGGGACAGGTCCCAGGAAGGTGCTGGGTGGAGGGATTATTCTGCACTGGGGTTGCATCCTGGGGTGCTATAGGGCTCTGCCTGGAGTTTTCAGGGAGACAAGTATATCTCAGCACCCACATTTAGGGCAGTGGGAGCATTGGGCTCCTCTCCTGCACCAACCTTGCTGCAAAGCATTTGGACACCTGCAGAAAGCAGAAGCTTCTGTTGTTAGCATTCATTTTATTTCAAACCAGTCCATCCTCATATGCAAATGATGACAAAACAGGAGGCTGCCCAGGCGGAGGGGTCCTCCAGCTATTACCTGCTCCAGAGATAATTCTGCCTTATCTGCATCCTCTTAGGCTCCCTGAGAGAAATGGGTGACGGGAGGTTAAACATGAAAATGAATTCTGTGGTTTTGGAGAGTTCAAGATACTTATCTCTCCCTAAGTGGCCCTCCTGACAAAATGGTTTCAAATGAGTAAAACGCATCTTCTCTGTATCATTTTTCTTTCAAGTGTGACTCTTTTCAGCATTACCCACTTGCTCGTGCTCGGCTTAAGTCTCTCTAACTAGCGCTTCTGAAAAACAACAGAGTGAGATGGAGTGGTTCAGAGGGATCAGATAAACCAGGGGAATGGGGAGCAGGGTTTCAGAGACTCTCTGCCTAAAGACCACTACCTTTGGCCAAGGTTTATGGCAGTGACTGGAAGAGACTTGGCTACTGGGAGACTGAAATTAGTGGGCAACCTCCTGTCCTGTAGCACGCGATGGACACTTTGAGCTTGCTCGGCTCTGGCTGGCATGGTGACATGAGTCTACAGCAGCCCTCCCCAGTTCAGTGGATGAAGAGGCAACTGTTCTTTTACTCTGTTGTCTTACTTGGAGTCAAGCAAGGCCATTAACAGGGGAAATCATGAGCTCCTGTTTTCCCTGCAGTCCTGCTTACAAGAACTGTATTTTAAACCAGGAACCTGGCACCTTCTGTAAGTGTTAATTAAAATGGAACAAAGATGTGGTCTGATTCCATCTCTCCAAATTTTCCTATTTTCTTTCCTTTCTTGCCAAGCTTTTCCATCCCCCACAGACACAACTAAGCACAGTGTTCTTTCCTCTCACCCCCTTTTGTGGTGTACTTCACTGGCAAACCCTTCTAACCCTTTGAACTCATTCCAATCCCATTATGTAGAGCATGACATTCAACCTGAACTTGCACAGGCTCCAGGCACATTGCACCCGTGCAGCAGCCAGGAGTTAGCAGAGCAGGAGCTCCAGCTCTGCCTAACGTGAGCAGCATTACAGAGTTAAGCATGGACTGAAGCAAACTGCTTTTCCTCTCCCTTCCCCTGACTTTGTTCTTTTTCACTGTGCAGTGTACAGAGGTTTCTGGACGGCGTTCATCGTGCTGGCTGTCGCCACTGGGCTGGTGGGAGGACTGCTGCTGGTGTGTGGCGTGCCCTTCGTCAGCCCTCGGTCCTACAAAATCGGAGGTGGATTCCTTCTCTTCTCGGGTAAGCTGCCAAGCTGCGGTAATGGGATACAGCCAGGGCAGGAATGTGGCCTTGCTCTGCTTTGTGCTCACAGGGGAAAGGGAGGCAGCTGGGGATGAGGCGCTGCTGAGAGAGAGGGGGGCTCTGATGGGAACTGCACTGACTCAGAGTAAATGATTTCCTTCTTCCCACACTGGAATTAAACCTCTGTGCTCAGTCAAGCTTTAGCAAGACAGTCTGTAGTCCTAGAGAGATTGAGGTTTTTTTCCTTTCCTATGCAACACAGAGGAGCAGATCCTTTTATTTTAGTAAAGTCCATTGCTGTGTCAACCCAATGGGCAGCAATCAACCACACTGTGTTCCCCTAAGTCACTCTGCATTTAGGCCTCTCCTGTCTCTGCTGTTAACATCTGGTAGAGCTGGAAACTCACTGAGTGATGAAAGATCTACCTGGAGATTCAAAATGGGAGGGCTGGCTTAATAAAATGTGGAAAGATAAAGCCATGGCACAGCAGGAAAATTAATTAAAATTAGGCATTTATTCATTATTCCCACTGCCGTTACAAATGCTTCCACTGAATTATCACTTGGGCTTTTTCCTTGTCTATATTTGAGAAGGAATACCTGACTTAACTAGTGGAAACACTTGATTATAACAGTGTTATATTTTTATAACAGTGATGAACTCAGAAAAAATCTTTTTTGGGACTCAAGCAGCTAAAGGCTGGAGCTCAGCTGAGCCATACCGAGGAAAGAACATCATTCTGAAGTCAGGTCTTTCTCTGACAAAACATTGCTTAATGACAAATCCTCTGCCACGTTCTGCTTCCTCATACATGTCATGAATCAAACACGAGCCAGTGCCTTTGCTCCCAGTTCGGGCTTTGAGCGTGCCCAAGGTTTTTGGGGCTGAAAGCTTTCATGAAAATATTTAGCCAGAAAGGTCCCAACACTGACCCTGGAGGAACTCCACCTAAGCTCCTTCCAATCTCACTATGTCCTGCTATTATTATTACCTTTTACTTTTCCACCCCCCTATTTAGTTACCATTTTATAGCTCCTTTCCTAATTTCTTCTCCTTTAGGTGTCCTAATCATTAACCACGTGATGCTAGCTGAGCTGCTTGTTAAAATGAAGCTAGATGACATCTATCTGTCTAAATAATATGGAAGGCACTAAATCAATTTGGCTCTATCTGCCTCTACTAATTCACTTCTCACTTTGTCCAATTTTCCATCTGCCTCCAGGTCTTCAGTCTTGCAGTGAGGGCAGCAAGCTTATGGGTATCTGCTTATCTCTTTCTTGTACAGCTTAAGAAATGCTTGGTTGGGCTTAATTTTTCTAAGGGAAAATTCCACATGGTTTTACACACATGGATTTTGTTTGGGAATGCAGGACATCTTCCTATCAGATCCCCATCAGGTACCAATGCCTTGTAGTGAGTAGCGTTAGCCACTTGACACATGTGTGTGCTGAAGTGATTTCTTCTTGTGAGACTAGGGCTGAATGCTTGGATCCTCTCAGATGTGACACTCTACCTACCTCATTTAAAGCCCCACCTCCTCAAAACACTCAGCTTTAGACCCAAATGGAAAAACTGAGATCAGTCACCTTCTGATCTGGCCAGATAAGTAAAATATCCCACAGAAAAGGATGCTGAATAATATCAAATCGCTGTATTCCTTTTTTCTTTTTCTTTTTTTCTTTTTTTTTTTTAATTTTTTATTATTTTTGCACTTTATTTGACTACCTCTTGATTAAAAGGCTGGGGCATAGAATGTGACACTTTTTAGAAGAGCTGATTATGCATCACATAAACCTCTTGGCGTTAGACAAAGATGCTGCTGCTTAAATTGAAGTTTGTATTAATGCAGTTTCAATCTGAACAGCAATCATTGTTATTAACTGTCATTAGGAGGAGCAAGTTCAGCTGGAAGAGACTTCCTGCTATATTTTCAATCTAAGTGATAGCTAGGAGAATGCAATATTATTTCAGCGAAGTTTGCTTAGAGTTTCACCTGATCCTTTTATTTTGCAGGGATGGGGTGATAGGTAGGGGGATATCCTGAACCTAGACCTCTGGATCCTGCTTGGCACTGGCTTCCTGACTGATTTGGGATGCAACTCTCCATGCTTATTTTATTACTATCCCTTCTAAAAACATTTTGCATAATTGCACTAACCACTAGGAACAATAGCTTTAACACAGCTTCACCGTCCTTTCCTTCAGATAGCGGGATGTGGAAAGATGGTGCAGGAGAAAGCGCGTCTTGTCTTCTAATCATGGCCTGTGGGTCAGTGTTAATTAACCTTCCTTGCAGAAATGAGCTCTCCTCGAGGAAGTGTGAAAATGCTGAAAACCTGTAGAGTGGGAACGTGGTCTGGCAGTCGGATGGCGAGTTGGGGAGCCACAGCTGCAAGATGCCCCAGCCTCTCAGGGCATCCTTTCTATGCAACTTTATCCTGTCCATAAACTCCCTCTGTCCTTGTTGGTACTAGCCCATGCTGAGGTCATGAAATCACAGCCATCGTTAATCGTTGCAAAATGCTCCAACATTTGCCACCAAAATTCTGTATGAAGATATTATTAGTACAATTGCATTCCCAAGTGTATTTATAGATATGCAGCCTGACATGATCTTGAGGAGTGTGCCCCTCCTTTGCTGAGGGGAATTCAGTGCCTAAGGGTGAACGTTGTTATCGCTCAATTAGTTTCCTTTAGGAATCCTTTCCAGGATGGCTTTTGTTAACTGGACTTTCAATAGGACAAGGCTGACTGCCTGCCAGCTACCTTAACAAATGTAGTGCTTGGTGGGTGGTGTTCCTGAGAGCCCTTTCAAAGGACCAAAACCATCCCCTGTGATTTCCTCTGCTGGGCAACTCGGGAAATAGAGCCAGAGCCCATCTCACCTTTGCATCTGCACATCGACAGCTCCAGCTGAGGAGTTATCCTTGCCAGCCTGCTCCCAAAAGTACTTGAATTGCATGAGCAAATAGCCAGTGTGCTGCTTTCCTTCTAACATTTGCCATCTCAAACTTAGCTTCAGTGCTGCAAGGGGGAGGCACACACTGCCTGGTGACTAATCGTCCCCTTGTATCAATAGTCAGATGACAATATGATTAATTATCACTACAATGTCACTGAGAGGGACAGGTGAAAGCTGCACTGCAGCTTCTGGAAACTGAACTGCTGAGACAACTTGGCTTGTGTTCCTTGTTCTCCTGCGCTCATGCTCCTTGGTTTTCATTTCCATTGGGCATTTTAGAGACCAAGCTTAGAACTGAGCAGAGGCTTCATCCAGACCTAGGGCAACTACTGAGCTTGCTGTGCTGCCCTAATACATTAGGACCAGCTGCATAGCTGTAGGGTTAAGTGACAAAATGACCTGAGCTCTACCTGGTGGCTTGCTCAGGGGTGAGGAGGCTGCTTGGGAGAGCATGTGTGTATGGTGAATTTTCAAAGCAAACAATAAGGATGCATGTCCCAGGTAATGTCCAGCAACCGAAAGAGGAGCTCATTATCAGCTAGCCTTCCACTGGAAAGCACAGATGATGAGCCAGGTACAGTCTAAACATCTTCCAGCTGCTGTTTCTCCAGCACTTGTATGGCATGCATGGGTGTCCTCGCACTGTCCTGCAGCCACAGGATTGCTGTGGCCATGGGCTGTTTTCAGCAGGTAAAGGCAGCACAGCCCCTCTCCTGCGCTTTCACAGCAGTGTCATGGTCCTGTGAGGGGAGCACAGTGTGTACTCAGACCAACCTGTTCTTCAGCATGACCCAACTGCACTAAAAGAAAGGCAGATTTACCAGTCCCGTGGGTTAAAATGCTGAATTTTGCACTCAGATTCCTCTTCCCAAATCAAGCACCTCTATTTTGGCAATCTCAGGCTTCCCATGTGCAGTAAAGGCTGACAGTTATGGAGGGCAGCTGAAGGTCACCCCTCCATTTCCTCGTTATTAACATCCTGAAGAGGGAACTAGTGAGAAAGGCGAATGAGTCAAAGTTCATTATTCTTGTAATTAGCAGATTACACAAAAGTTCAGTAGCTTCCCCAGAACAAGAGTTAAAGATTGAGTTCACTCACCTGTCCCTACAATTAGCAGCTATAAAGGTGTCACAAGGATATAAAGTGAGAGAAAGAAAAAGCCTGACTCCAATTTACTCACAACAAAGTTGCAGCCCTCCTAGGAGGGGGAGATGGAGCACAGGGGTTCTTTGTCTTGCAGTTAGGAGTGTACGAAGGAGAAAGATTTAATACCTTGCTTCATTTTTCTTGCAATTAGCCCCTCCCCAGAAGATGCTGTTGACCTCATCAGCACCGAGACAGTTTTGCAGTTAATTTTTCTGCATACCATCCTAATGAAGAGAGGCAAAGAGGGAAAGGGAGACAAAGAGAGAGATCACTTGGCTAATTTTCCAGTGGTAGAAACCACAAGGATGCTAGAAGGAGTGTGGGGAGGGTCTGGTTAGATGCGGTCTTCACTTACGCTTACCCCAAATCTCTGTCTCAGGTATCTGTGCCAATGGCAGGCTCATTTCTTCGGTATAAATCTAGATATATTTTTTTTTCTCAGTTTTTCATTTTAATGCCCTAGCCAGGAAGAAATTCGTCTCTGCACATAAAAAGCCATTTGGGGCTGGCAGGAAACAAAAATGTCTTTCCACTAAAAGCCCCCGAAAGAAGATGGTAAAGTGAGATGCATTCAAAAGATGAAAAACCCAAATTAATATCTCATTTTACATAAAAAATTCCAAAAACTTGCTCTGGTAATATGGGAGTGAAACATCCTGATATTCTCATTATGAAGAGCCTACTAATGTCTGGAAGCATGACAGATTTTAGGCAGTTTCATTAATAATTGTGATTGTTCCTACTAAGCTTTTTATTTTGACAAACAATTTTTCAGTGAGATGCCCTTTCTGCACTTCCACCATCCTTCTTTGGCTGCACCTGCCCTTTTGATTTCCTTTTCTTGCTGAGGGGATGGTGTAAATCCCAGGGACTCCTCACCACTGAGCTGTAATTATTCCGGGAAAGAAGGCTGCTTACTTTACATTTTCTTGTCATTTTCCCAGAGTGTGAAAACGTTCTTAATTTAGATGCCATGGCTGTGCCATCACCTCCAGTACCTGTTTAATAATAAATCCTTCCATACTTGAGACCTGCAGCTTCTCCTGGGGAGAAGGGAGGGACCGTTTCCCCATCCTTAGCTCCTAGTGAGCGTGGAGATGGTGACACCAGCTCATGGGGTTTCCTCTCACCCTCCTCACTAAGAACTGGTAGGTCTTAATCTGATTGTTCTTTCATAAATGAGGTTTAAGCCATCCTGGGACAATTCAATGCAAAATCTGTGGTTATTTAAAGACAGGTAGGAGAATTCAGAAGTATCCTACGGTATCTACATCCTCTGTCCCATGGGGCTACGGTTTTATTTGTGTCTCTTACGGTAGGTATTATAAGTTAATGAAATAGAAATTGATCTTTAAAAGAGCACTTTTCAAGGTTCAGTTGCTATCTAATTAATTTAATTTTAAATTACATCAGTAATAAAGGCTTAATTGCCTTCTTATCAATATATTGTCTTTCGTAAAGGCCACGTGACTATTTAAACACACAATCGTTTTCTTATAGTAGAATAGTTGGTATTTTAAACGTACAACTATCATATTAAGTGCAAAATATTTATTTGTGCGTTTAATTTCAAGTGGTTTCGAAATCTCAATGAACATGCAAATGTTAGAACAGCTGTTATTTAACTCCTAGGCTGCCTCTCCAGCAAATACGAGGACTTTTCCATGTAAGGGAGAAGGGCTTGAAATATCAGCATGTGGTGATGTAAAGTATATTCATATGGTGACACCAATTTTTGATTCTTAGGGTTCATTTTGCAGTTTTAGGGTATAGGAGGCAGTTTAACAGACATGACAGCTTCGAATGGGTAGCTTCAACTTTTATATGGCATGCAGGAAGGACTTCGAACCCTGTATACCTTCCCATAAGTCTCATTTTTGGCTACAAGTTGCAAAAAGGAGCTTTGTAGTAGCAGATGTCTTTATATCCATTATAAGCAAAAACACAGCCAAACACTGACGTGTTTTCTCTGACTGAGGTTTCAGTAACCACTATCCCTGAGCTGATATATCAGTGTCAAGCTTTACCCATTTCCTTTGCTTAGCACAGGAGCTGGATTTTTGTAGTGTATAAGCTGCTGGGAAGAATAATTAAATATAGTACAAGCTACCTTTGATTTAAAAATTGCAAGGGAAGAAACTAAATCCAGCAGAAAGCCACAGCACAGAACTGCGTGCTAACTATTCAACTAAATTAATTTTGAACTGTTCACTGCTACTATAAGCATATTATAATCTGTGATGTATTTCTTTCATATATGTGTGTGTGTATGTGTGTATATCTGTATGTTATATGGCACCACTTAAAAATGGCAATCTTCTAGCTGTGAAGTAGCAAGATCAGATATTACTGAAGTGCCTTCAGAACTGTCATCACACTGTCACTATTTAGTTTTAATATATGTTGACTTTAAAATGCTCTCTATATATTATTTATTATGACACAGTAAATAATATTAAGGCCACTCTAATTTTTGTTATCTGCTTCATTCGGGGGAGCTAGACCTGCAGCCTCTGATCACCATCACTTTGAATTATGGGGAAAGGAGGTTCCCATTAAGGCACTGAAGCCCCTAAACCTGCCATGGGCTGCTCCGGGTCCAGGAGGTGCCTGTTCACCACATGCTCTTCAGATGTGGCGGAGCTCTTCCTGCAAATGCTGACCTTTGATGGGTATGCATCTGGAAATGTGAGATCACAAGGTCTCACCAGAGATCTGCTATTTGGGTTACAGGCATCCTACAGGCTTGGGAGGCTCTGAGGGGAGCAGACCCTCTCTAAGCAAGATGCTGACCTTGCACTCGCTGCTCAGGCTTCAGTGTGGCCTCAGCCTTTCTCTTGTCTGACTTGAGGGGAGAGCAAAAGTGTTCTCACCAATGAAAAGATTTTTTCGCCTCCTGTTATAAGCTGATTATTACTCTTTATTATTCTGTTGTTTAGCAGCCCATCTGAGGTTAATATCTTACAGCTATATGCCTTTTCTACTCTATTATGTGTTATTTCTCTGCAAATTAAGATCATCAGTACTCCTTGTCATATGTTCTAATACTTGGTTGCAAAGCTCAGTTTAAGGAAAGGTGGGACAAGATATAAAGGGGAGCTACCACAAGCTGCAGCAGCAGCAGCTGCTCACTCTCTGTGCAGCCTGCGTTTGTGCCGGTAGCAGGTCTGGTTTAGGATAAGTCTTGCCACCAGCAGGATTGATCCACATGTCTTTGCATTTCTGGTTGAAATCGGATCTGACACTAGTTTGAAGGGTAGGTACAAAAAAGGAGAAAGTGAGTCTCAGTGCCTCCTTCTCACTTGTCTCAGACAAAAGTATAAGGGCAAAACAACCCACTTATAAGACAGGAATGCAGAACTAGCCTCACATGGATCCCAACTGTGCAAATCAGCCACGTTCAGGATGATTTCTATGTGATCATATTCAGCTGTAACAGCCCTCAGTAGCACTGGTGGTTAAAGCAAGAGGTGTCGGTGCGCTGGCAGCTGTGCACAAGCTGGTCGTGGTGGTGTGGGTCTCTCCCATGGCGAGTGGGCTTGCCTTTCACAGGAACCTGTATAGCAGTATTATGGATAATAATTCTGCTACGCTAAGCTTCAATGCAGAGAACCTGCAGGAACAAATGGAAATCCGTTGCTGTCTTTTCTCAATTTTATTTCTATGTTCTATGTACAGAGAATAGCTCATCTTTGTCTCTCTTTCCAGGAGGCTTATTTCTCCTGCTCATATTTCTCTTTGTGATATGGAAGGAGTTCGCTGCTGATTTTCAGAAGTACATCCTTCTGGAGAGAAGTGAGAAGTGCATGGATGATGTACCAGTGCACGTGTATTACGGGTGGTCGTTCATGTTTGCTGCGGCGGGCATCCCTCTGGTTTTACTTTCCGGACTTGTCTTCTACTTGGTTGGCAGAGACATTATGAAGTCACTGGATTAAGACAAATTTGGAGAAGGTCTTTCTTTGAGAACATTGGTGATGTTCCTTGTAATGAAACACACACAAGTTTTGAGATTGTTTCTGTAGCTATAATTGTCAGCATAGATGCATGACTACACTCACTCTTGCATGGAGGCAGGGATGAAGCACTGAGCACCCAGTCACTGTCAGTCCAAAACCAGACCCAGCTGAACATCCAGCTTCATTCAGCATTTTCACACTTTGGAGAAATTTAGGTATGTGTACGGGTTTTGCATCAGTTGAAGTCCAAGGAAAAGCCTTTGCTGTTAAAAGCGGATTCCCCCGGCTGTCAGCAGAGCCCTACATCCACATTCAGCAGAGCTGGAGCTTTATGGTGTTCCCAGCATCCATGTTTCTTGTAAGAGGTAATCGAATCTGGCTGCGATGGTGTACACTATAATGTCTACTTCTGAAAAGCAATTAAGGATGATTTTTTTTTTTAAGCTGGCTCTAATTGATGTCAAAGGACAACCACTTTAACGGGATGTTGGGAAACATGAGAAAATGTTTTCATTAAAAGCCCTGATTCCAAAGATACAAATGTACCTGGACCTAACCGAACTTTCAACAAGTGAATAAACCAATTTCTATGGCATGAAACGTAACATGAATAAATTTGTATTTCTTTACAGCACCACATTACTCTGCATTTAATCTTTTCCCTGGATGCAGTGTTGTGGGGATTCTCAACCCCAAAAAGGAAAGGTGATCAGAGTTGGGGGAAAGGGAGAGGAACAATAATGTTGTTGTGGGGTAGACCCTGTCAGCCATCTCAGCATGGGACCTCGTTGTATTCTACAGACATAGCACAAAAGTCAGCTCCAAAAAGACAAATTCTATACCATTTAGGTATTTTTAAGTTCTTGCAGGTTCTTGGGTGTCTGACAGATTGCAGTGGTCCTGTGAAGAGTAATGCATGATAATCCAAGCTATCGAGCTACACCAAGCTATCGAGGTACAGGAGGTGAGGTAATTTATTTCGTGTATGCAGAAGTTTGTGAAGACACTTGAGAAATGATAAAGATTTGATCTTGTCATGTTTTTCGGGCTGGATCTTGATGCTTTGAAGCAGTTTGTTGGGCCCTTGTTTGCTGAAATCATTTGCATAAGTTTTAAATCACACTTCCTAAAAATGCGTGCTATTCTCATGAATGTCATAGTTTGTGATGAACATATATCTCCCGAGTTTTATGTCACACTATTGACTCAGTATGGTTAATTAATAATGGAATGTAAATCTCTTCTAAAAAGCAGTGAAGACTGTTGGCAGTATAAAGATGTTTGTTAATGCTCTTCCTAAAATATTATTCAAGTCTGGCATTTCTTTCCTTTTGGAGCAAGTTCTAATTATTCCTTTACAAGATTCATGGCATACATTCAGTGAAAAACTGTAATTTCCACATGTAAAGATTAGTTCTTTCATATGAATAACAGGCTTGGTCTACAGTTCTTAAACAAAATCACACTGTTTTCCCTTAATAGAAATTTTGTTTGAATAGAATTGGTATACACAGGTGAAAATCGTGTTTTTTTCCCAGTCAATAGATTTTTCATGACATTTACAAACGTAGAGATATTTCAGTATTTTATTTGGCCATTCTAAACTTTGTTTGGTTTTGGTTTTGTTTTGTTTTTTCTTGACATCTCCTTGGGCTATGTGTGTGCTCCATCAGTTCTTCAAGTGATAATTTCTCACTATAAATTCCCTTTGAATAATTTTTGTCATTTAATTATCTATTCAGTGTAGAGATGAACACTTATGGTCACAAAGAATAAAAGTATATAATCCAGGAGCAGAGGGGGTCAAGATTTACAGTCACTTGCCTTTCACTGATCCCATAAAACAATCCAAGCATGCAGAAATGATGATCCCATAAGAGACACCAGGGCAGAAGAATGAGAATGCAGCAAGAAATACATCAGACTTATTGATATCTGTGAAGCTAAGGATCCCTGAAGTTGTGAATATAGAAGTGAGTTTTATATTATAGAATGAAATATTTATTAACTTTCTCCATCTGTTCTTTAAAAAATTTCGTTTAATGTCGTCAAGGCATTTATGGAATACATTTAGCATAATCATGCATTCATGCCTTAGGGAGTAAACCATCCCTGGAGACTTGCTCATTCTGGATCAGCTCTAGAACAAGCAATAGTTTAAAACTCCATCATTCTTTGGAAAAACACATGAATTTGAATCACTCTTGAACAGGGTTTGGATTTAAAAAAACCTACAACCTCTGGTATTGAGCATACTCAATAGTCACAACAGCAAGGATACAGAGAATGGGATTATAGATGAGCATATATAAGGTAATTAACTCCTCTATTAAAATGCAGTGTTTGTAGCCAGCACAAGTGTTAACCAAACACATCATTTTGGTAGACTAAAGAGTTTAATTCCTTCACTGTCAGGTTTCTTGTGGCAAATACAGCTTAAGCAGGCAGAATTTTGTGTGAGATTCGTCATTTCTGGAGGAGAAATTTCAAAAAACAAGCTAATGGACTCAGTGGTAGGGTTTGAAATTGCAGAAACCACGGTCTCTTTCATCTGTTGAATGTGAAGAAGTTTGATGAAAGGATATTATAGAGTAGTGACAAGGACCTAATTCTGATCCAAGTTTTGTCATTATAAATCATGAGTAATTCCAAAGATGCAGTAGACCCTTATCACTGTTAAACATCTGTAAGTCAGATCAGAACCGGGACTAATAAATACATTCAAAAATGCATAATTAAAACAGCGATTTCACATCACTCTGATGAATTTTAGTCAAGGATTTCTTCAAGGATGCTTTTCTCACATTAGCATTTGACGTTAGTAAGCAATGAATAATTCCATTTTTTCTTTCCAACATCTGGGACACTTCCTGCTTTATTTGCTACTTACTGAACGCTCTGCAAGAAATATTAATGAATCTGGGGTGTTAAAATACAGGCTCTATGGATCATGCTCGGGAGGCAGTGCTATATAGTAGAGGCTATATGTCTTGAAATTAAGAGCCTTGATTTTGGTGAAGTAAGATATTGGGAGATTTGCGAAACCTGCAGGAAATACAAGGAGTTGAGGAGGTTACCCAAAAGCCAAACCCCTGCAGCTCCTTTGTTCAACTGTTCCCTCACACCAAAGAGACCACAATGAATGATAACAGTTTTTCCCTTTGGTCAGATCAACCTTTTTTCAGTGATTCAGAAAACTATCACCCAAGGACGCCTAAGACTGGGAAGGTGCTAGGTAATAGACACCAACCCCAAGGAGAGATGGACCAGGAGACTGTCTTGACATGACAGCATCACTGCCATGTCCAGCTGCTTTCTTACACTCCTTGAGGCCTGGAGGTTTTTCCCTTTCTTGGTAAATTATATGGTAAAATTCTGTGTTTGGAGAGGTCAGCTGACTCTTCCAAGCAGTGTTTTCACCTTGGTTAGACATACTTCTACTGCATCTGTGGGCTCATATAACAAAATGTAAAAGTCTGCAGAACAAATATTTCCATCTGGGTTGCTCCCCCAAGGCTCCTTGTATCAACCAGGAATCACCAGTGCTCAGGACCACTCATCCTTGCAACGCAATGGAAGAGTGCTAATACATCTCTATGGAAGGTAACCGAGGAATAATCTCATGGCCCCTGTTCTGCAGGCTTCCATTGGGCAGCCCAGCCCTTATGCTGCTGAGTCAGCACCTTCTGAAGTGCCTCTAGTCACTCATCCTGAGCAAACACTGCCTGGGGAAACACTGGTGGGAGAGGGCGCAGATGTGGTGCAGCAAGCTAAGACAAAACCCAAGATTAAAATAAATAAGGAAGTACAAGCTAGCTCCATGCCTTGTGCACCGGGCTGTACATTACTGCAGGATTAAGTCATATCAGCCACAGTACATTTTACAAGAGTGCACAGCACCTCAATCCTATAATCAATAAGTTGTACATGCTGCAGCACAAAGAGCTCTTATCTGGAATACTACCTTGTATTTAGTGAATTTATTTAATCCCTGATGCCTGCAGAGCATCAGTCCTGTCTTCTGGGTTAATTTATTTATTCCAGTGATGTATTTTTAGTCTTTCAAGTACTTGACATTTGAGAAGCAGCTCTTTTTCCCACTTCCTAAAAAAAATCTGAATTGGAAAAACTTTACTTACAGAAATGTATTTTGTTTCCTAACTCATTCCCCACTCTTTCTTTTGGAAGCTCTGTTATCAATACTAATAACCATACACTGAATGTATGGTCCCTTTTCATTCTGCTTGGCAAAGCCTGGTTCTAAGTCAATGCTGGACATTCAGTGATTTTCTCTCTTTCTTGTCATCTTATTTTTGCCCTATGAATATTCTGTCTTCCTCTAAAAGAAAAAAGTCCCCTATTTTGAGGTATATACAAGATGCTCTGCTGTGTGTAGTTTGGGAATGGTCATGAGTGCAGGTGATGATGCTCTTATCTTCTGGAACTTGGTGTTTCCAAGTATGATCGCATGAGCCCTTTGCTGAACCCAAAAGAACCAATGGTTTAAACAGTGCGACTACATAAATGATTACTGTTACAAAGAAATAACAAATGAAAAAATAGTCTCTAGCCACTGCTGTGTGGTGGAGTGGTGATTATTATCAGAGCTGTGAAGAATGCACTCTAATTAACCCAACCGGAAGGTACTAAACATTTGGTTATGGAAGAGGTGATTGACGCTTTATAAGCCTCAGCATCTGCAAAGAAGAAAAAAAGTCTCACCTGACCTTGTCTGACTCAGTTAATGATGGCTTCATAAAAGCTAGAAAAAATAAAAATATAGTAGCACAAAGGGCAATTGTGTGAAAAACAGAGCGTCAGTTCTATTTTCCCTATCCATTTCCAGTATTTACCAGTGTGGCTTACATTAGAAAAAGCAACAAACGCTGATAAGAACCACTCCTAGAATACGGACATTATCCTGGCAAAATACATTACCTGTCCTCAGAAATATTTTTGTAGAGTCACAGAACGTAATTGGTTTTCCATTTCAGATGTTGTGAGAAATCCTTCATACTTTTCTTCTCTTTAAAAACCAGGCTGTTGTTCATCAAACCATTGAGATAACATAGGCTGAACTGGCTGCTTTGAGGTCTAAAGCTTTTATTACTGATTAAACCTCATCGGTTACAGGCTGCAACAATTGCTGTGCATGGTGAATAAATGAGGCTCATTCTGAAATAGAGGCATCAATTTTGCGCCTGTTCCTGCCAAAAAAAAAAAAAGTAGGGAAATTTAACAATTTAGACAAATCAGCCACTAAATTAATTCTGCTGGTTGCTGAGGTGGAGCCTTGGCAAAAGATCATTTCATGCACAAGCAGGGATGCTGCCTCTGAAACCACACACCTTGCTTCCCAGAATCAAGTTTGTTATGTCATGAGTTAATTAGCTCAAAAGAACAATTACTAATCAAATACATTGCATCACATCCCCAAAATAAACACAGGGTCATTATGTCAGCTACTTTGTGACAGTGAAGGCAAGATTGAGTGGGTCCTATATACGCAACTAATTGAACTGTTTTGGTCTCTCTGAAGGTCAGCAGACAGTTTCATTTATGTCTTCAGGACGATGCTGAAGTCACCTAGTCATGGGCAAAAGTC